ACAAATAGACAGACGGTTGGTTAGGTGGTTTGCTTGGGTGGCTAGATGGATGGACGGATGGATGGATGAATAGAGGGATAGATAGAAGGATGGATGGATGGATGGATGGATGGTTGGTTGGTTGGGTCTACAAATAGACAGACAGTTGGTTAGGTGGTTTGCTTGGGTGGCTAGACGGTGGGATGGATAAATGGATGGATGGATGGTTAATTGGATGGATGGATGGACGATTGGTTGGTTGTGTGGGTCTACAAATAGACAGACGGTTGGTTAGGTGGTTTGCTTGGGTGGCTAGACGGTGGGATGGATGGATGGATGGATGGATAATTGGATGGATGGATGGATGGATGGATGGATGGATGGATGGACGATTGGTTGGTTGGGTGGGTCTACAAATAGACAGACGATTGGTTAGGTGGTTTGCTTGGGTGGCTAGATGGTGGGATGGATGGATAGATGGATGGATGGATGGATGGATGGATGGATGGACGATTGGTTGGTTGGGTGGGTCTACAAATAGACAGACAGTTGGTTAGGTGGTTTGCTTGGGTGCCTGGATGGATGGACGGATGGAAGAATAGAGGGATAGATAGAAGGATGGATGGATGGATGGATGGATGGATGGATGGATGGATGGATGGATGGATTGTTTGCTTGGATGGATGGATGGATGGATGGATGGATGGTTGGTTGGTTGGATGGTTGGGTCTACAAATAGACAGTGGTTTGCTTGGGTGGCTGGATGGCTGGATGGATGGATGGATGGATGGTTGGGTGGGTCTACAAATAGACAGACGGTTGGTTAGGTGGTTTGCTTGGATGGATGGATGGATGGATGCATGGACAGACGGTTGGTTGGGTGGGTGGGTGGGTCTACAAATAAACAAACGGTTGGTTAAGTGGTTTGCTTGAGTGGCTGGATGGATGGATGGATGGATGGATAGAGGGATGGATGGATGGATGAAAGGACGAACGGTTGACTGGGCGGCTGGGTCTACAAATAAATGGACGGTTGGTTGGGTGGTTTTCTTGGGTGGCTAGATGGTGGGATTGATGGTTGAATGGATGGACGGACGATTGGTTGGGTGGGTGGGTCTACAAATAGACAGACGGTTGGTTGGGTGGTTTGCTTGGGTGGCTGGATGGATGGTTGGTTGGTTGATTTATTTTATTTTATTTTATTTTATTTTATTTTATTTTATTTTATTTTATTTTATTTTATTTTATTTTATTTTATTTTATTTTACACTTAAAATGTGTATTTCATGATTTTATTTTATGGTTCAGTGTATGTGTATCACTGAATAATTTATCAAAATGTATTAATCTAGTAATGCTATGCACATTCATTAAATTATTTTCCTTCAGCTTAGTCCCTTTCATCAGGTGTTGCCACAGTGGAATGAACCACCAACTATTCCAACATATGTTTTACGCAGCGGATGCCCTTCCAGCCAAAACCTTATTATGAAACTACCATACACACTCATTCACACACACACTACAGCCAATTTTGTTTAACCAAGTCACCACTTAGCCACTATGCCGCCAACATGCTATACACAGTATTTTATATATTAAATAGAAAACTAAATAAAATGTTGTCAGAACAACTAAGGGCTGTCCTAAATAGTATCAGGACACTTTGGCTCATCTGTACACATGTATCGGGAATGTTCTCTAAATCTTAAACCCGTGGCATCTGTCCTGCAGAAGGGATATGATCCCTACTAAAGTTATAGTGCGATCTGAGGATTTTAATAAGTGTTGAAGTCTCCAACATGTAGATTGTGCTCTGTCCGCCGCTGGGCCTGTAAAGACAGTCACGTGATTCAACCCCATATTCAATTAATAAGTCTAGGGTGTCTGCTGGAATCCGCTGAACACAGTGATTACTTTCTGCTTCCGCCATCATGCAGATAGTGGCGTCGTGCACAGATAAGCGCACAGGAATCCATTTAACATGAAGCGAGAGGCTGGTCTGTGCCTGTTTATCAGCCCGCAGCACCAGTTGCTTCAGTGCAGATATAGGATCCGAACGCAGCCGCCGCAGATAAGAGAAGCGGGTGGGCGAAGCCGGCGCAGGAAGCGATAGCGTCTCGTCCCCTTATATTTCTCTCTCTTGCTCATCGTCTGAGCTTTGTTTTGGTTGAGGATGTCTCTTTTGATGATCAGAGTAGGGTTGTTCATCTGACGCACTGTAATGTGTGCACAACGCTTCTTTACAAGACAAACACTGCAGGCCTGGAAATGCAATAAGCTTGAACGCCTTCCTTTAGCTCCTACAGTGACCTCTGATCTGGTTACAAAGGAGAAACTAACAACTAATCACTGTGCCACCTTCAAGCTAGAAGTTTAATGTACAGTTTCAATTACTGTGACGTTTAACAGAGAAAGGAATTTTCCCCGGTAGAGTGAATCTACATGACTCACTGATTTAAATGAGTGAATCTACAGGTGATGACTCACTGATTTAAATGAGTGAATCTATATGTGATGACTCACTGATTTAAATGAGTGAATCTACAGGTAATGACTCACTGATTTAACTGAGTGAATCTACAGGTGATGACTCACTGATTTAAATGAGTGAATCTACAGGTAATGACTCACTGATTTAAATGAGTGAATCTATAGGTAATGACTCACTCATTTAACTGAGTGAATCTACAGGTAATGTCTCACTGATTTAAATGAGTGAATCTACAGGTAAGGACTCACTGATTTAAATGAGTGAATCTACAGGTAATGACTCACTGATTTAACTGAGTGAATCTACAGGTAATGACTCACTGATTTAACTGAGTAAACCTACAAGTAATGACTCACTCATTTAACTGAGTGAATCTACAGGTAATGACTCACTGATTTAACTGAGTGAATCTACAGGTAATGACTCACTGATTTAAATGAGTGAATCTACAGGTAAGGACTCACTGATTTAACTGAGTGAAATTACAGGTAATGACTCACTGATTTAACTGAGTAAACCTACAGGTAATGACTCACTCATTTAACTGAGTGAATCTACAGGTAATGACTCACTGATTTAAATGAGTGAATTTACAGGTGATGACTCACTGATTTAACTGAGTGAATCTACAGGTAATGACTCACTGATTTAAATGAGTGAATCTACAGTTAATGACTCACTGATTTAAATGAGTGAATCTACAGGTGATGACTCACTGATTTAAATGAGTGAATCTACAGGTAATGACTCACTGATTTAAATGAGTGAATCTACAGGTAATGACTCACTGATTTAAATGAGTGAATCTACAAGTGATGACTCACTGATTTAAATGAGTGAATCTACAGGTAATGACTCACTGATTAAAATGAGTGAATCTACAAGTGATGACTCACTGATTTAAATGAGTGAATCTACAGGTAATGACTCACTGATTTAAATGTGTGAATCTACAAGTGATGACTCACTGATTTAAATGAGTGAATTTACAGGTAATGACTCACTGATTTAAATGTGTGAATCTACAGGTAATGACTCACTGAATAAAATGAGTAAATCTACAAGTGATGACTCACTGATTTAAATGAGTGAATCTACAGGTAATGACTCACTGATTTAAATGTGTGAATCTACAAGTGATGACTCACTGATTTAAATGAGTGAATCTACAGGTAATGACTCACTGATTAAAATGAGTGAATCTACAAGTGATGACTCACTGATTTAAATGAGTGAATCTACAGGTAATGACTCACTGATTTAAATGTGTGAATCTACAAGTGATGACTCACTGATTTAAATGAGTGAATCTACAGGTAATGACTCACTGATTTAAATGAGTGAATCTACAAGTAATGACTCACTGATTTAAATGTGTGAATCTACAAGTGATGACTCACTGATTTAACTGAGTGAATCTACAGTTAATGACTCACTGATTTAAATGAGTGAATCTACAAGTGATGACGCACTGATTTAAATAAGTGAATTTATAGGTAAGGCAGCAAACATTGCACAAATGCCTATTTTAATTTTCCATATTACATTTTGAAATGAATTATGCTACTCAAATGCTTCCATAAAATTTATGATGGACTGTGATTTTAATATTGTAATGATTACCTGCATAAATGAAAAATATAGCAGTGGCGCAGTAGATAGTGCTGTCGCCTCACAGCAAGAAGGTCGCTGCATCACTGGTTTGAGCCTCGGCTCAGTTGGAGTTTCTGTGTGGAGTTTGCATGTTCTCCCTGCGTTCGCGTGGGTTTCCTCCGGGTGCTCCGGTTTCCCCCACAGTCCAAAGACATGCGGTACAGGTGAATTGGGTAGGCTAAATTATCCGTAGTGTACGAGTGTGTGTGAATGTGTGTGTGGATGTTTCCCAGAGATGGGTTGCGGCTGGAAGGGCATCCGCTGCATAAAAACTTGCTGGATAAGTTGGCGGTTCATTCCGCTGTGACGACCCCGAATTAATAAAGGGACTAAGCTGACAAGAAAATTAATGAATGAATGAATGATGTTTGGACTTGTGTTTTCATTGGCCAATATTTAAATTTGTCTGATGATCAGAAACATTAAAGTGTAAAAAACATGCCAAGAAGAGAAATCAGTAAGGGGGCAAACACTTTTTCCCACCACTATATATGGTTAGGTTCAGAGTCACAAATTGTAATGAGCGATGCACGAGATATTTAAAACTGACCTCAAACCCACAGGACCTCAGACAGACTGACTGTACATTATCCACTGAGTAGCAAAGCAAATGCATGTGAAATACTGATCTATTTATGTAGAGCAAGGGGGATCAACCCTGTTTCTAGAGATCTACCTTCCTGCAGATTTCAGTTGCAACCCATATCAAACACTGTACAAGGCCTGGGTAATCATCCCAGGTTGAGCACCCCTGATGTTGACAATAGGAAAAAGAGTAGTAGATGCCACTGCATTAGTGTCACCGCAGCAGGCATGAAGTGTGTTTATTTACAGTATTATCACTTCACTCTCTCTCCAATCTGCCTGACCTCAGGTGTTCTAATGGCTATTTCGGACGTCCCAATATTCCTGGCGGCTCCTGTCAGCCGTGTGTGTGTAGCGGTAACCTGGACCAAACCGCTCCGCTGAGCTGTGACCCGCTGACCGGAGCCTGTCTGCGCTGTCGAGAGGGATACGGAGGAGCTGACTGCGAACGCTGCGCTGACGGATACTTCGGAGATGCCCTCATAGCCAAGAACTGCCAAGGTGAGTGACGGAGATCTCAGCGCTTCAGCTTTGTGGCCTTTCATCAGAAACGCAAGTGTTTTTTTTTTTTGCTAGTTTCAGCCCGGCGCAGGTATCATTTTCACACGTTGTTTAGATAGTAAATAGATTTGCTCCAATTTGTGTTCATGTGCGTGTTGGTCTAAAAAAGGAAGTGTGTTCAGCCTAATTCGCATTACGAGTGACTCGCAGCGGAAATGCGACAAGCGACCGTTCATTTCAACGAAGAGCAAGCGACTTCCATCGACCTCCATCTATGCGAGCGACAGCGACTGTTGGTGACCAGGTGGACGTGTAGAGGGACGCGGCAAAGTTGAGAATCCTTCAACTTTATGCAAATGAAGAGCAACTTTGAGCCAATAGGAGCACAAGTAGAGCTCACATGATCATCTTTCAGCTCGCTCGGAGGCCGGTTGTATTCTCTGTGCTGTAGACCTACACAGACCTGCGTTTGCAGAAGGTCGCCACCCAGAGCGACAGGCAGCTACAAAGTCACTGCTAGTGTGAATGAGGCATTAAGGCGCATTGCTGACATGTTGAGGAGACTGAAAAAGACTGACTAAATGCTGCTCTAAAGTCAAAGGTGCAGTTTTTATTTGCTATTTAAACAGTGCTTTAAGATTGTATACCAATAAGGATCTAAAACTCACTACATGTTGATTGTATCAACCCGGGATCATTGTGGAAACGTAGCCCCGCGGACGTTTCTGCAGACTGCGATTTACGTCCCGGGAGGTACGTATTCGAGCGTTTTTTGTTTTCGCGGATCCGCGAGAGGCCGCTGTGCGCGCTTTTTCGCGTCTCGGGTGCCTCTCGGGAGCGCGCGGCATTCGCGCCTGTGCCGTTCTCGCGTGAAAAGCCGCCGGATCGGAAAAAAAAAAAGCAAAAGCCCTCGTCTTCGATTTCGACCGCGTTTTCGGATCCCGCCGCGTTCTCGCCCTTATTTTTCAGATTCCGTTTTTCGTCTTACCTGATTTCCGGAACCTGCTGTTCCCCGGACTCGATCCCGGTCGTCGTCCACCGCAGTTTTATTAGTAGTAGTGGTAGTGGTATTTGTTATATTCATTCATTCATTCATTCATTTTGTTGTCGGCTTAGTCCCTTTATTAATCCGGGGTCGCCACAGGTTATCGGCTCAAAAACTTATCCAGCAAGTTTTTACGCAGCGGATGCCCTTCCAGCCGCAACCCATCTCTGGGAAACATCCACACACACGTTCACACACACACTCATAAACTACGGACAATTTAGCCTACCCAATTGACCTGTACCGCATGTCTTTGGACTGTGGGGGAAACCAGAGCACCCGGAGGAAACCCACACGAAGGCAGGGAGAACATGCAAACTCCACACAGAAACGCCAACTGAGCCGAGGTTCAAACCAGCGACCCAGCAACCTTTTTGCTGTGAGGCGACAGCACTACCTACTGCGCCACTGCCTTACCGTATTTGTTATATCCATATTTAAATTATTATTTACATATACATTTATCATTTTTTTGTTTGGGGGTGTCCACCTTTCGGGTTTTGGAGACGTATGCATCACCATAGAAAGTCTTATATGTATGCATCACCATATAATTGCATATACAGTTGAAGTCAAAATTATTAGCCCCCCTGTTTATTTTTCCCCAATTTCTGATTAACAGAGAGCAGATTCTTTCAGCACATCATAATAGTTTTAATAACTCATCTCTAATAACTGATTTATTTATCTTTGCCATGATGACAGTAAATAATATTAGACTAGATATTCTTCAAGACACTTCTATACAGCTTAAAGTGGCATTTAAAGGCTTAACTAGGGTAATTAGGGTAACTAGGCAGGTTAGGGTAATTAGGCAAGTTATTGTATAACGATGGTTTGTTCTGTAGACTATCGGGAAAAATATAGCTTAAAGGGGGCTAGTAATATTTTCCTTAAAATAGTTTTTAAAAAATGTATAACTGCTTTCATTCTAGCCGAAATAAAACAAATAAGACTTTCTCCAGAAGAAAAAATATTATCAGACATACTGTGAACATTTCCTTGCTCTGTTAAACATCATTTGGGAAATATTTAAGAAAGAAAAACAATTATAGGGGGGATAATAATTCTGACTTCAACTGTATAGTTGTAGATAACCACTGTAAATTTCTATATGCAATGACATTTTAATGCGTCTGCAATTTGTTCTTTAAAGCACAGCTTTTTTAGACTCTTACAATATAAATTTAATTAATAATGGAAATGCAATTCTTTTAACGTGGCTTTTACAAGTGACATCGTTCATCGTTTTGTTTTATATTATGTCAATTTATGTAGAAGTCAATTTATGTTCTTCCAGACAGCCTGCATGGCGTGTGTGTATGTATGTGTGTGTGTTGATTCAGTAGCAGAGCTCGGGCTTCTCCCCTCAAGGACAATACACAAGTATTCCCTTCTCTCTACACCATCTGTGCAGTGTGTGTGTGTGTCCCGCTGCAGCCCCTCGGTTACACCACGCTGCAATATTAAGCAGGATAGAGTCATTCTGTTTGATTGTTTTGCTCACACGCTGCGCTGATTAGCATGCAAAGGGGTCATGGGATATTGAATAATCTCTGGTTCATGAATGTAGCTGTTATGCACGCTGGAGGCGAGTTCAGAGCGCATTCCCTCGGTTGCACATGATACATGACGACGAAGTGACAGTCGATGCGCTCCTGTAGGCTTCGGCAGAGCATTGTAAAGCATCCGTATGTCGCAGTCCGACATGAAATTACAGGATTCTATATCCACTTAAAGGGGACTGATTCTGCCCCTTTTTTACAAGACATAAAATAAGCCTCTGGTGTTTCCAGAGTGTGTGTGAAGTTTCAGCTTAAAATATCCTCCGGGTGCTTCGGTTTCCCCCACAGTCCAAACGCATGCGCTATAGGGGAATTGAAGAAACTTAATTGGCCGTAGTGTATGTGTTTGAATGAGTGTGTATGGGTGTTTCCCAGTACTTGGTTGCAGCTAGAAGGGCATCCGCTGTGTAAAACATATGCTGGATAAGTTGGCGGTTCATTCCGCCGTGGTGACCCCTGATAAATAAAGGGACTAAGCCAAAGGAAAATTAATTAATTAATTAATGAATGAAGGAATGAATGAATAAATGAATGAATACCCAGCTAACAAATTTAGGTTGTAAGAACGTTCTCATAACGCTATCTGTAACGTTCCAAGAATGTTGAAATGTCCAGTTTGCTTAATGTTGCTAGAACGTTTTTTGATGGTTAGGATAACGTAGTTACAACGTTCCTAAAACCTCAATTTCCACCAAAATATAACGTTCTAAGAACGTTTATTTGGAATGTTCCAAGAACGTTGAATTGTCCAGTTTGCTTAATGTTGATAGAACGTTTTTTATGGTTAGGATAATTTTGTTACAACATTTTAAAAACCTAAATTTCCATCAAAATATAACGTTCTAAAAACGTTTTGCATCAACATTATGACAACGTTTATGAAGTACAAATAACTTCGTAAGAACTTTGTTCTAAGAACGTTTTTTTACAACGTTACAAGAACGTTAACAACGTTATGACACCCTTCTAAAAACGTTCTATTGATATCTTTTTGTGCTAACATTTCCACAACTTTTAAAGAACGTTAGTGAATGTTCTGGGAACGTTCCCTGTTAGCTGAGTATGTACTTAGATTTTACACAAAGCTGCTTACACTCTCCAGTCAAGATTATTTTTAATAGATTTTGTGTTGGAAGTGGCGCACATTCTTTTCCACCCAGATTGTGGTTTATAAATGAGACCCCAGAGCTGTGAATGTTCGTGAGGTGGACGTTGTTATTGTTGATGTCCACTGCATGCCGGTTTTAAAGCATGTTTACATCTGATCAAAGAAAATAGGACTCACACTTTATTCTGCCGGGAATAACAGCTTGTAAAGAGCAGAACTGACAGCAGAACAATGTAGCTGGAGTGCAGAGCTCAGTGGGACACTTGCTTGTGTGTGTGTGTGTGTGTGTGTGTGACCTACATCACAGACACACTCCTGTACTGTACATGATCGGTCCTGTCTGATCAGTCAGCCGCTGTGTACTCAGAAGTAGCGTCTTTAAGCAGTTCTTTTACACATTCGGCTACTTGTGTTTGAAATGCTGCTGTTTGAGCATGAAAAGATTTGGAAAATTGCACTTCAGCTGGAGAACTGTGTTGAATGAGCACCTCCGCTGTAGTTCTGAGACCAAAAACACGTCCTAATATCAAGTGCTGGGCAATAATTACTGTAAATACAGCTGAAGACAAAAGTATTCACCCTCCTGTGAAATCATAACTATTTTTAAAATATTTCCTAAGTGATGTTTAACTGAAACGTCCATCTGTTCTCAATTCAAAATCTCACTGATACAAATGGTTGAATCTACAGGTAAGGACTCATTTCATTCATTCATTCATTCATTCATTCATTCATTCATTCATTCATTCATTCATTCATTCATTTATTCATTCATTCATTCATTCATTCATAATTTATTCATTCATTCATATATTCATTCATTTATTCATATATTTATTCATTCATTCATTCATTCATTTATTCATAATTTATTCATTCATTCATATATTCATTCATTTATTCATATATTTATTCATTCATTCATTCATATATTCATTCATTTATTCATATATTCATTCATTCATTCATTCATTCATTCATTCATTCATTTATTCATTCATTATTTCATTCATTCATTCATTTATTCATTCATTTATTCATTCATTCCTTCCTTCATTCATTCATTCATTTTCTTTTCAGCTTAGTCCATTTTTATTAGTCTGGGGTCACCACAGTGGAATGAACCGCCAACTTATCCAGCGTATGTTCTACGCAGCTGATGCCTTCCAGCTGCAACCCAGTACTGGGAAACTCATTCACACACATGTGTTTGGACTTGTGGGGGAAACTGGAGCACCCGGAGGAAACCCACGTGAACACGAGAAGAACATGCAAACTCCACACAGAAATGCCAACTGACCCAACCGGGGCTCAAACCAGCGACCTTCTTGCTGTGATGCGTTTGTGCTACCCACTCTGCCACCGTGCTAGCCCAAGTGATAACTCACTAATTACTCTATTGTCTCACTTACTGATCGTTATGGGTGAAACTACAGTTTGACTCACTGATTCAAACTAATGAATCTACAGTCAATGACTCACTGATCCTACTGGGTAAATCTACATGTAGTGATTCACTGATTCAAACTGGTGTATCTATAGTTAATGACTCACAGATTCAAAGAAGTAAATCTACTAGTGATGACTCACTAATTCAAACAAGTGAATTTACAAGTCATGACTCACTGATTCAAATGAGTAAATCCAAAGGTAAAGGCTCCAACAAGTGATTCAAACCAGTGAATCTACTGGCAATCACTCACTGATTCAAATTAGTGAATATACATGTAATGACTCACTAATTGAAACGAGTGAATCTACAGTTATTGATTTACTGAGTGAAACTATCAAATCTACGATTTACACCCAATAGACTATGGGTGAATCTACATGTAATGCCTCACTTATTTAAACTATTGAATCTACAATTCAGTGATTCAAATGAGTGAATCCTTACTGATTTAAATGAGTAGATCCACAGGTAATGACTCCAAATGAGTAAAGCTACAGGTAATGATTCACTGATTAAAATAAGTGAATCTACAGTTAATGACTCACTGATACTAATGGGTGAATCTAGATGTAAAGGCTCACTGATTCAAACTAGTAAATCTTCAATTAATCACTCACTGATTCAAACTAGTGAATAGGTAGGTAATAACTCAATAATTCAAGTGAGTAAATCTAAGGTGATAAATCGCTGATTCAAATGAGTGAATCTACAAGTAACAGCTCACTAATTCAAACCAGTGAATCTACACAAAATGACTCACTGATTTAAACACGTGAATCTACAGGTGACGATTCACTGATACACATGAGTAAATCCTCAGGTAATGACTCACTGGTTTAAATGAGTGAATCTACAGTTAATGATTAACTGATTCAAACGAGTGAATCTACAGATAAGAGTTCACTAATTCAAATGAGTGAATCTACAGGTAATGACTCACTGATTCAAGCTATTTAGTCAGAGCTCAAAGTATATTAAAACAGATGTATTTTTTTCCTTTTTTATATGTATTTTGTCAGGCTATATAATGTCACACCACCTTGCTCTAATGGTCAGTCTGTTTCTCTCTGTCTCTGTAGCGTGTCAGTGCCACAGTAATGGATCAGTGTCAGAGCTCTGCCATCAGGAGACAGGACAGTGCCAGTGTCGCCAGCACGTGATTGGACGGCAGTGTGACGAGTGTATGGTGGGTAAACACTAAACTCCTGAAACTACCACTTGGTCACTGTCAGGTGCGATTATTTATAAAGCAATCACTGTAGTTTAATTACTTTTCAGATGAAATAGAAAAGTAAGGGATTACGTTTCATCTTTAGGTCATTCTATGAGGATTACTGACAATGCTGCTTCAATACTGTAGGTCAATTCAATAATTCTATATAGATCAATTCGAAAATTAAAGTAATACACAATAATCACATTGTTCAATTAAGAACATTTATTATTTGTGAAGAAAATTGCATATGCTTTAAAAAACTTGCTAAATAACTTTATGAAATATTAAAAATTAAACAAAAAACAAGTTAATTTTTTAATTAAAAAAGGATATATATATATATATATATATATATATATATATATATATATATATATATATATATATATATATATATATATATATATATATATATATATATATATATATATATATATATTTTTTTTTTTTTTTTTTTT